TATCTGAAGGCTTTTCAAAGCCATGTTACCTATAATTATTTGATGAACAAAATAACAAATGAATCACAGATAGTCAATTATATTTTCTATCTCAACGTTGCTACATACAGATATGCATATAAATACACACACACAGCAAGTCCTTAATATTACTTTTTTGGTGATCATCCAAAAAAAAAGTGAATTGGATGAGGGCCTAGAGACAGAAAGATCATTATAAACGAGGGCCTTGGAGCTGCTAAGTTAAAAAAAAATAGCCATAATTATTATCTAAATGGTCCAAACTAGAAAATGTTGAGTTGCCATCAACAACCAAATTCTAGTAAAATAATAATAAGAAAAAAGTCTGTCATTGCTTTTACAAAACTGTAAAGAAACATGAACTAGAAAAATTTATCCTCTATCCATCTTCTCTTGTGAAATTCTAAATCATCTGCCTACGCTCGACTACTTTTTAGAACTTCCTCCTGCTTCTATTCCATTGCAGCATGGTGGATCCCCTTTCTCCATCCAAATGACTTTTCTATGCCCCAGCCCCCACCTCACAGCTTCGCTTGTTCAATTCCAATTCCTAATGCCCCTTCACTTCCATCTGAGTATATGGCTAATCAGTTTGAGGTAGTAACCTAAGCCTATTATTTGTGGATTGTGGGAGATATAGTGACAGATCAGAAGATAATGCAAATACCCACTAAATCTCAGTTGGTGAGAGGGAACCATGAAGGATTTCATTCTTAAAATACTGCCTTGGTTAAGACTCAGCAGAGCACCCTCACACTGCTCCTTCCTTATAAAGGCTGTGGTTTAAAAAAAAAATGACCCAAAGGCAGACATAGTCATTTTTAATTCGGTTGATTTATTTTCCATTTGTTTACTCGAATGTATCAAATTCATATTGTTCTGATGATGCATAAATGTAGCCTGCTCTTGGCAACACCATACTGAGCCCAGTCAGATCCCGACCAACAGAAATGCAAGCTCAGGGCAGACAACCCCAACTCTGGTGTTATGGGGCTCTGAAGTGAAGATCCTCAGTGGAGCCTCTTAGTGTTGCTTGGATATTCTTGAAACATTGATTTGTAATTTAAGAATAGCAAAATTGTTTTTTAAATTTGAAATTCTAAAGCAATGTAATTATGTCCTCTTTGGAGGTCTAGACCCATTTTGTTTAAAATGAACAGAAAGTTTGTGTTTGTTTCTAAAAACCATTCAAGATAGCAAAAACATGAAAACTGGAAAAATGGCACTGTCAATATAGAAAATTATGGCAATTAATTAATTTCATCTAACAGTATTTTTGGGCTGTGGTACTATTCACAAAGTTTGGCCCTCCTTATTAGTAAACTCAATCCCAGGAACAGGAACAAGTCTTTCTGCCATGTAGAAGATACCAAACATTGGCATATTGTATTTTTTATACCTTTCATCTACAAAGTTGGAATTATCTAAGATTATGCCATTGTAAATCCAGAATTAGAAAATAAACAATGCCTTTGTAAAGTTAGGTGTTCAATCAATTGAACCTATGTGCTAATGTTATAAAGAGGTTTTCGTCTCTGCTGATTTAAAATTAGCACCACCATGACTTCTATATATGTAAGAGGTTGTGAATTATCTTCCAACAGCTTCTTTATGTGGATCATGGAAAATTATTGGATCTAGCAGTGGGTAAACAGAGAAGTAAAGAGAGTTTGTGACGTTTCCTGCTTGCTGAAAACTAGAATGCTATTTGCCAGCCTGCCAGCCCTGGGGTAGTGGCTTTGCTTGTCTTCTATTTCAGCCTTAGAAGACATGAAGTATGTAAGGCTAAGTGTAGAGAACTTAGCTCCATTGTTGAATCATGTTCTGTGATTGCATTGGTATGTGAAGAAAAAAGGCTCTTGGGTGCAATTAAGACTGGCTGTCCCTGATTTAAGACAGACATTTGAGCTTCTGCTCCCATATCTGTAAAACGTTTGATGAAGTGGTCCCTGCCATTGCTGAGCCCCACCTAACGTTGAAGAAAAGGCTTTGTAAAATATAAAGTCATGTGCCTTGCTCTGCATCTTTAATATTATTTTTGTGCTGATAAAATTCTTCCCTGGTACAGTAGGAATGAGCTTCTGTTGCCAATCCACTATGAACGTAGGACAGAACTGGTTAAGATTTTATAAACTGGCATGAAATGTCACAGGCTGATTTGCATTTTTTTTGGTGATTTTATACATTAATCACTGACTAACCTTCAGTTTTCCAAATAAAGAATAAAGAGAGCAATGGTGACATTTGTGATCATCTTCAGAAAAGGACTTGTTTAAACTCTTCACAGATGGAGAGATATCAAGCATAAATTGTTTTTACCAAGATTTCTAATTTTAAGCAGCTCTGAGGGTGTTTGTGGGTAGTAGGGAGCAAACATTGTTTTGCATATGGAATTAACATAAACTTTGCATACCATCGTCCCAGTTCCTCTGGATGATTCTGGTGGGCTTCTGGAGACTCCCCTAAGGACTGAGAAACTCATAAAGTGACAAAAATTCTGTGCGGCTTGTGATGTACAAATGGAGTTAACGGAAACAAGTCGCATGGGTGACCTTTCAAAAAGGAAAGTGGGTTTCCACACATCCCAGATGGCTTAGTGCTCCTACAAGGATGGCATATGACATAAACTCCCAGTTCTAGCCCAAATGAGCCTATTATTTCTAAACAAGCCATGTAGTTTATTGAATGTGCAAACCAGCGCAATTTATTCCAATATCTTCTGTAAGTTTGCTGTGACAGTAGATATGGATCGGTGACTGAGAGTTTTAGTAAATGCTGAAGATTGGCTATCTAATGTTTACAAATCTAGTGTGTACTTATCACAACAAAGTTCCCTGGGATTCACATGGGAAAATCAATTACCAATTGATCTTTGGATGTTAAGAAGTATAGCATACAAAACTACTCACTTCTGGTAACTGGCATAAAACCCCCAAGGCTACAACGTCAAAGTATATTTTGCCTGCCAAATTCAAAGGTTCACCCCGATTTAGAAGTAGATACTCGTTTCTTAAGATAAACTTTAAAATATTTTAAAATGCAAATATGTATTAGTTACTTGACACCTTTCTGTGATAAAGTGCCCTGCGCTAAAAACCAACTTGAAAGAAAAATGGTTTGTTCTGGCCCACAGTTCCAGGATGTAGTCCATCAGGTAGCGAAATGATGGTGGCAAATGTTACAGATAAGCAATCATATTATATCAGCAGTCAGGATGCTGGGGAGAACACCACAGCGCTCAGCTGGCGTTCATTCTAGTATTTAATTCATGACCCCACCCACCTGCCTTCAGGTTGTGTTTCTATGCTTCAATGAATCCAATCTAGACAGTCTCTCATGGCCATCCCCAGAAGGTTCTACTCACAGGTAATTAATAGATTCCATCAAGTTGACAAATAAGACCAACTATCACAGAATATCTTCTTCATTTTCTCCCTTTTGGTTTTATAAGTAGCTTCAATTAATATATTCTTGTAATCCCAAGATCAATGTTGGTAATAGTAAAAACATGAGTAAATAATGACAGCATTGATACACCTAACCACACATAATTTGTCAGGTTAAAAAGTCATTATCTTGAGGTGGTTTTCAGCATCTCCTGTATCTCCTTTTTGGATTTTAATTTCTAAAAAGAGATAGAGAACTGTTTCGCCAATATCAGATAGAAACTACTAAATAAATATTGAGGGAGAGGATTCTTATTCTTAGGGGAATCCAGAAATGTTTATAGCAATGTAACAATGAAATATGTACATGCCTTCCATTATCCACCTAGATCATTTCTAGTCCAGAAACACCACATTTGAAATATACAAGAATGTTTGAACATTAGCAAAGTGCCGTGTTTGGGAAAGTCACATCTGACATCATGTGATAGGTCCTAAGAGTCAAGGCTCAGACACCCTAATATCTGCTCTCTAAAGTAGTCTGCAGCCCTTACCCATAAACTATAAGAAGCATAAGCAAAGTTGATGTTTACACTGGAGCCCCCAACATAGAATAGCTCAATTTTATATATGTGAAATTCCCAAATCCAAAATTTGGGAAGGAAAAATACTACCGTTAGTAAACATTTCATAGAGAGATTGCTTCACCTGTATGGTGTAGGAGGTCCTTCTGTTTATGTGTCGCTTTCATTGGTTAATCAATAAAGAAACTGCTTGGTCTGATAAGGCAGAACTTAGGTAGGCAAAGAAGACAGAACTGAATTCCGGGAGGAAGGAAGCAGAGTCATAGAGACGCTATAGATCTCCTGCTTGAGATGGACACTGGTTAGAATCTTGGTGATAAGCCACAGTTATGTGGCATTACACAGATTAATAGAAATGGGTTAAATTAAGATATAAGAATTAGCCAATAAGAAGTTAGAGCTAATGGGCTAGGAAGTGTTTAAATGAATACAGTTTCTTTGTGATTATTTTGGGTATAAGCTAGCCAGGTGGCCGGGACAAAGGGCCCCCATCCTCCTTATGCAACACCTGTATAGCTTCCTGTCTCCAGGCTACACTTCCTTTCTGTGGATTGCAGAAACAATAGTACCTTTGGACTTATTTACAGGCCTTGTAGTACAGCTGACTGAACTGATGAGAATATTCTGATAGTCAGAGGTGGAGAGAATGTTTCTGTCTCATGCCTGTCCTAGCCAAATGGTTGGTGTACTCTGCTGCTATAGTAGAGGGAAAATTGTTTATTAACATGTAGCAAAGTTCATAATCTACTGTATCACCCATGCTCCACTGTTATGCATCAGGAACCGAAGGTACTGAGTGTCTCTCCGGAACATCTATTTTGCTATTTATTCCCAATTGCTATCATCTTTAATTTGGAGAGAAACCTTCTAAGGTTTTCAAAGTCATCCCTTTTGGTAACTAAATACTGTCCAGTAGGAGAAGGTTTTCTCCTGCAATCTCAACAGTGTGCTGGAAGAGTCAGTGCATAATATGGTGGCCCTAATGCACCCTTTCTCTTTGCCTTTACAGCTGGTGCCACATACATCTTTGGGAAAAGCGGTGGCCTCATCCTCTACACCTGGCCAGCAAATGACAGACCCAGCACACGCTCTGACCGCCTGGCTGTGGGCTTCAGCACCACTGTGAAGGATGGCATCTTGGTGCGCATTGACAGTGCCCCGGGACTTGGAGACTTCCTCCAGCTTCACATAGTGAGTACCTGCTCAGCCTTGGCTTGGAGTCTTTTGTCTTCCTGATGATCTGAGGTGTGAGTTTGATAAACACAGAACATTCTACATAAATGCAACAGAGGTGCACAGTCTTTCAAAGACCGCCTTCAATTGTCTAAACTGCTATAGTAATATGCCTCAGTAACAAGAAAGAAAATGGTCCCTTCTAGTTTCCTGTGGCTAACTGTTTACTTTGGTCTTGTAGTGAATCTCTTAGATTCCCACTGGGTTTGGAAAGAGATTTATCTGTTATGGTTCAACTGAGATGTGGCAAGAAGGAAAGCCAAGAGGAATGTTAGTAACATCCTAAGCTTGCAGTTGGCAAACTTTTTCTAAAGGACCAATATATCGCCATCATGGATGCTGCAGGTTATAGAGTCTGTTGGTTTTACTATAGACAGTGTGAGTTTAGGATGTGGTGAGTCTGTTCCAATAAGAATTCATTCATAAAGCTGGGCTGCAAATGTGATCACAGGAATGAACGGGATATGTCATGCAAGCTATGGCTCTAATAGTAGAGCAGGCATGGCACAAAGGAAATTGTCCCAAGACCAAGTTGAGTTATGCATGTATATTGCATACTTAACGTTTCCCTTTAGATCTTGTGTTTATGCGAGGGTAGAATTTTTACTCCCAGCCTCTGCAGATCATAAGAGATTCATGCAAAACAAAGAAATTAAAATGATTTGGAGGATTAAAAATTACTTCCTTACGAGGATAGAAAATATTTTTATAGCAACAATTAACCCATTTTATCACCTGTGCAGTCTACAGTTAGGAAAGTAGGCTAAAGAAAGATATGATTCTCGTTTGTGAATACCCCACGTGTAGCCACCAAGAGCAAGGAGAGGAATTGTTCTCATTAGTTAGCAATGGCAGGGCTAGAAAGAATGGATTTAATTTGGAGCAGAAAGGACTCAGTGCAAATAGCAGAGGAGAAAAGCAGTTAAGAAAAAAAGATCATCTGGGATTAGTGGCAATCTCCACAAAAGAGGAAAGGGGGCACTGGCTGGAAATCTTTGAACCAAACTTTTTGCTAATCTGCAGATCCAGAAAGCAGAATGTACACTTTCTTTGCCCAGCTCCAGAGTTGATGCTGGCAAGTTGGGTTCACAGCAACAGGCTTGGCCAGAGCAGTATTCTACCAGGGTTGTCTGGAAGTGGGACCAGATAGACATCCAAAGCTCTCCTTGGGCTCCAAAAAGCGCTCGTCGTCAGTAAATGTGAAATTGAGTTGCAGATTTTTAATTCTGTCTCAGATGCTCCAGGAGCCATATGGTGCCAGGAGCTGGAGCTTAAACATTATAAAGCCTACGCCAGGGAGCAAAGAGAAAGGAAGCCTCCGTCACTACAGTTTATCTTTATTTAGACTCTAAGAGCCACCACCGTCATTTACGAAACTCTGAGAGATTTATGCTGCATATAACTTAATGACTATTTCATGGCAGCTATAACTAGGCTATTATTACCAGTTCATTTGCATTTTCAGGGTGATTTATATTCTCTCTCACTTTTTTTTTTTGTTCAGTGTGACTTCCTAAAAAATATGATTTGGCCTAGTCATAAACATTTTTTTTTAAATTTTTAACCATCAGATAATAAACTGTCAGTGTATCCATTTCTAAGCATTTCGTGTTTGGTATGGTATCTTCACTCCTAAGAAAGAGTTTTTTTTTTTTCTCTCACTATTTGGCAGTTTGCTTGGAATGTAATAGGGAGTTGGATACAAATCATTTGTGGATACTGATGTTTGGTATGATGTCTTCACTCATAAGAAAGAGTTTTTTTTTTCTCTCACTATTTGGCAGTTTGCTTGGAATGTAATAGGGAGTTGGATACAAATCAATTGTGGATACTGAGAACTTCTCAGAGAAACTAGAACACTATATTTTATTAAATACAAACCCTTTGGTGAGTTTGAAAAGCATCTCTAACCATGCTTTGGCGTTCAAGTAATATGCACTTTCTGTATTTATTAGCGGATATTCTCTTTATAAAAATGTTCTTTACTTTTGATACTATTAGTTTATTAATAAAAGTCACAAGAAAATTTCCATCAGACTATGTAACATCACCTTGTAAATCAGTGAGGCTGCTAGTAACAAAACCCTGAAAAATCCCCAAAGAAATTTCCTTCCAAACCTAGAGTATGAATTATATGAAGGAGTCATTTTTTCCTACTGCAATATGAGAAAATCCATACAGTTTCTGAAGGAGGTAACCTGGCTACCCTGCCCATGACCTTTTAATAAACATGAGCACCTTCATTGCTCCAGTCACTTAAAACTGTGTTTAATCTGCTAATGAGTCTGATTTTTTTCTCTTTTCCTTAATACGATCAGAATAAAAGAATTAAAAGAGAAAAATCAAGACATTGTAGTAAAATCTAGCCTCTAATTTTGAAGAGTTAAGTAGAGGCATCAAGAAAACAAAATAATAAATACTGGTTAGGTTTCTTCCTGAGACATCCCCAGTCTTATAAAGGATGCTTTCATTTCCTTAATGTTTTGTTTCCCTGTACTAAGAAGATGATTCTAAAAGAAAAGCTCTTAGGAGTCATTGTAGAAGGCAAATGGATTGGAAGGAGGCAAAAGCTTTCATTCTACACTGGCTCTTTTCAGAAACCTAGTTAAATTGGTTGTTTTGTATTTTAAGTTTGCATACAAAATAGAGAGTTTCTTGTTGGTATTTTCTTACATATACGTCATCATTCTGTGCACCTCTTCACGTTCCTCTTCCACAGCCCTTTCTAATTCCTTAACATCCTTTCCTTGGGGGAAGGAGAGGTAGCTCAGCAGCAAGAACTCTTGTTGCTTTTTTGGAGGATCCAAGTTCATTCCTCAACACCCATGTTAGTTGGCTTATAACTACCTGCAACTCCAGCTCTGTGGCAGAGGTCATTTTTTTCGATTTCTGGCTGCCCAGAACTGAAATAATCACACAGAAACTATTTTAATTACAATACAGTTTGGCCTGTTAGCTTATGCTTTGTATGAACTAACTCTTACATCTTAAATTAACCTATTTCTATTATTCTATGTATTGCCATGAAGCTCGTGATTTCCCTGTAAGTTTCTGGCATCTGTCTCCTTTGGCAGCTACATGGCATCTTCTTGACTGTGCCTACTCTCTTTCTATATTGGCTTTGATTTCCCACCTTGCTTCACTCTGATAAGCCATTGGCCAAAACAGTTTTATTCATTATCCTATAAAAGCAACACATATACAGAAGGACTTCCCACATGGAAGCTTCAGAGGACTAAACCCTCTTTATCTCTTTGCAAGCAACCACATGAATATGAGGAGACAGATAAACATCACAAATGGAAAAAAATAAATCTGTTTATAAATGAAGTTTCATTTCTTTCCACTCCTTTCCCATCACAGTCCCCTTTCTACTTAAGTCTCTCTCTCTCTCTTTCTCTCTCTCTCTCTCTCTCTCTCTCTCTCTCTCTCTCTCTCTCTCTCTTTAAATCCAGAGTCTTCATGTTAGAGAAAACATGCTTTCTTTCTGAGTCCAATAAATTTCTTAGCATAGCTGTCTCCAGTTAAAAATATTTTCTAGCAAATGTCATGATTTCAGTTTTATAACAGCTGAATGAAATCCCAGTGTATACATGTACCACATGCTGTTTACCCATTTTTTTGCTGACAGACATACAGTATTTCTATTAGTTTTTATGAATATGACTGCAATAAACCTGGATATGAGGGTATTTCTTGGTCATAATGACACAGTCTTTCAAGCATTAACTCAGGAATGGTATATCTAGATTATGGATAATTATATTTTGATTTATTTATCAGCAATGCTGAGGTGTCTCACACATGATAACCATGTTCTCTGCCACTGAACTACTTCCCCAGGAATATTTTCAATTTTTTTGAAGCAATTCCATATTGACTTCCATAGTTCATATGCTAGTTAGCATTCTCACCAGCAGGGTAGCAGGGTGACAGTATCTCTTCCCCACAGCCATTCAATCACTTTTTTTAAAAAAAAATTAAGTTTATTTATTTATTCTATATACTGACCTCAGTTTCCCTTGCCACCTCGCCTTCCATTCCTTTCCTTGACCTCTCCTCCACCCCCTCCACTACTTCACTTTTCTTCAGAAGGATGCAGGCTGCCAATGAGTAACAACAAAACATGGCATATCAAGTTGAGATAGGATTAAGCTCCTCCCCTTGTATTAAAGCAAGGCAACCCAAAATGATTAATGGGTTTTTAAATGCCAGGCAATTTCTTGGAAAATTGGGAATCAATCAACCTCAAGACCCAGTTATACCACTTTTGGGCATATACCCAAAATATCTTCAATCATACCACAAGGACACTAGCTCAACTATGTTTATAGCAGCTTTATTTATAATAGCTACAACTGGAAAACGACTTAGATATTCCTTAACTGAAGAATGGATAAAGAAACTGTGGTACATTTTACACAATGGAATAGTACTCAACTGTTAAAAACAATGACATAATGGAATTTGAAGGCAAAAAGGTGGAATTAGAAAAAAATCATACTGAGTCAGGTAACCCAGACTCAGAAATTCAAACATAGAATGTACTCACTTATAAGTGGATATTAACTGAAAAGTAAAGGGTAACTATGCTGCTATTCACAGACACAGAGAGGATTGGTAGCAAGGAGGACCCAAGGGGGAGACCCACTGATCTCCTGAGGAGGGGGAAATAGAAGAAATCTATTCTCAAGCTGGACTGGGGATGCAGGGAGATGAGAATAGGAGGATTTTTATTTTTTCTTAATTATAGACACTTACCTGGGGGTGATGAAAATCAAAGTACTTGTTATTCACAAGTCTCTATTCACTAAGATTGTTGAACATTAAATCAAAACAAACAACAACAACAAACAGTTGTGGCCATTTGTTGTTGTAAAAGGAGCGGCGGGCTGCATCCCGCCACCTGGCTCCCGGCACCCTGGCTAGTTTATACCCGAAATAATTACATGGAAACT